TCTTTTCCGGATTTATTTGATATCCCATCTCGAAATATCCAATGACTTGGAACTGTATTTAAGATCACAACTTTCAAGATATGTTCCATGATCACCATCTCTATGCGCAACTATATCTTATAGCTATAAGTGATCTAGGAATTTTATCTTAAGTGCAAATATATGATAAATGTTTACTCTTAAAATAAAGTAATGCCTTATTATTTAATATAACTCCAATAGATTGTATTTACAAGTAGAATACATCCAATTCGATTGGAACGCCGGGTATCCTACTCTAACATAAAGGTCATACAACAGAAGATCTCGAGGGTTTGTTTTTGCATCTCCGTTAGAGGTCATATATATATATATGCATCCCCGTCGCACCTCGGATTGCCTCAAAACTTGAAGAGCATGACCATTGGAGGAAGGCGCATCCACCGACATGCCCAGGACCACCAGCCGAAGTTGTTGCGGCCGTCATGCGCCGCCCGAGCATCGTCTGTGCACGGCCACGCACTGCCCACTCAGATAGACCCGTGGGGACAGCGTAGCACCCGGCCAGACCGCGCATCGACCGCGTCCTTCGTGCGCGACCCGCATTGCAGTGTCACCTGACAACGTCCTCTGCGTCTTTCTCGTGACCGGTTGCGCCCATGTGCGAGTTGTTTGTGCTACCATTGTTCCTCGCGTATGAAGTCTTTGCGCCCCAGTGCAACACACCTGTGCAGCCCGGCGGCAGCACAACAGACTCATGCAGCCTCGGCAACAATACAACACACCCGGGTCTACCCGGCCCAGTCAGCCAGCAGCGCACCAAACCCGATCCAGTTTGGTCCAACCCGGCGTAGTCTGGTATAGCAGCGGTCTAGGAATCTCGAAGATCCCACAGCAAGTTTTAGGCAGTTCGACCAAGCCACCGTAGGTTCGGGACTGTCCGACGGGAATGACGAACAACCAAAGACGTGAGACGCGAGAGACGGTCGATGTCCTATGTCCGACAACCCAACGAACTCTAAATTTTAGACTGTGGAAATAGAAAAAAAAACGTCTCAAAGTTAGCAAAATTTTTAAATCGTAAGTCTAATCCTAACTATATTCCCGTGCGTTATGATTTATTTTCAGTAGATTCGAATGTACATATGAACGACGTTCCTCCTAGAGCCCTACAACTACCACATGAACCTTGAGGAGGTGTTAAATTAGGACTCCCCATGTGAATAGGATACCTAGGCTCTAGTTCACCTACTCCCATCACACATGAATAAAAAATTATTCCACTAAACAAGTATTATTGAACTTCTTACTTTAATCCAGAATTACAATTAACTTGTTTGTAGATTTATCTAATCGATTTATCTCCACAGGTTTAAGATCTAACGTTCATTGTTTAATTTAATTACTGAAAATATAATTTATAAACTTTATGTATATGAAATTAGTACCACTCAGCCTTCTCGTTAGGGACGCCATCAACCCGACATACCATGACACACTGATTGTAAATAATCCTAACATAACATTATGCACTTAACGTTTATCACCCAGTTTATTAACCTAATAATTAGATCTCTCTTTTTGGTTAAATCAAAGTAGTAAATATTAAATGCATACAATTATTCATTATCTTACCGCTTAACAGTACGCAATAATAGTTGAGGTCTAGATTATTTACTTTATCAGTTTAAAATATTCTTATCCCATGTGGTCCGTTCAATACAATCGAGATGTACTAGTGTAATTAATTAGCCAAGATATACTAATTCAAAATTATACTACAACATTCTCACGATAGATTGTTGAATTGAATCTAGGTTGTGAACTATACTTATAGTCTACAAGGAAGTGATGATAAGATCTTTTATTCGACACATCGAACAATATTATTTCAATGTAAAATAATAGAACAAACATTCTTGAGTAACCATAATTTGCGAACCAAAAACGCTTGAAATAAGTTTGTAAATGAAGTCGAGCTTTTAGTATACAGACCAAAATTACTAGTTTATAAATATTATTGATCTCTGTTTATTTCGTCGATCTCACTTGTCATTCAAAGTAGCTCGTTTTTATATTTAACCTCGTCTAAAGTACCCTAAAATAGTTTGATAACACCCGGTTATCAACGAAACACAAAATATATTCAATTATATATACGAGAGATGTATCAATATTTTATTTCATGAAAATAAAGAAGATCCTTTCAAAACTAACAAGAATGGTATACTTATAAAATAATAGGGTCCAAAAAAATAAAACTAACAAGAATTGCAATGATATATTTGTAAAATAATAGGATCAATAAACAATAAAGTAAAAAACTAAAACGAAAAAAAACTAAAAAAGGCTTACCAATCACCCAACTTTTCTTAGAGTTCTAACGTTCTTAAGTATTTAGATGACTCAACTTCACATTCCTCTCTCTAAATTTTGGATAGCTCTAAATAAAAGAACCTAGTCGACCCTAATCTTTGTCGGAGCATCTCTTCCTCCGATAATTTGCCCCGCTGCTCGGATTCGACTTTTGGGATGTAGGCACGTCTCCTTGCGGCCGAATGTCACTGCCGCTGCGGCGTTTTGCCTTTCAACCGGTTGGCCATGGCGGATGGTCTGGACATTTGGCTCGTGCGTAATGGTGTCGATGAGGGCTCCAGTCGTCGCCGCGCGGCGGTCAAGGCCGAGACAGGCTTTTAGCTTCGACCTTCGTTCCTCTTCTCGTTCTGGTGTTGGGCTTGGAGGGGTTCTACGGTGGCGGCTCCCAATGCGGTTCGAGCGGGTTAGCGACCTACGGGGTGGGTTGGGGGTGGAGCTAATCGCGGGTCTATAGGTGTTGTACTGGTGGTGGCCACTCAATAGGTCGTCGGTTCTGTTGGATTGGCTTTAGTATTGGGCGTTGCTTGGGTCATGACTCGCGTGGTGCAGGTCCAAAGTGCCTTTGGATGGAGAGGAGGGTTGTAGTCTTCTAATTTTTCTTCAGTGTGTCTTTTTTGCGTGTTGTAGGTTTTTTTGTTTTGTGTTTTCTCCTATTGGGAGTGTGTTTCTTCGGTGGGAGCTCATTAACTTGTAGGAGTGTGCTTTTCTCCACTTGTGAGAGTTGTAGTTTTGTTGTTGTTGTGCTGTTATGTGTTTCTAGTGTAAGCTCTAGGTGACTTTCGGGTCCGACCTCTCACTAGACCCGACTTTATAGTTGATTCTCTCAGCCGTTTATCTGTTTTTAGATGTAATAATGTATTTTTAATATAGTTTCTATCAAAATAAAAAAAAAAAAAGAAAATAAACAAAAGGTCATAAATAATCTTTGGGTGATCAACAAGGGCGACCTTAAATGAATCATACTCGTAACTTGAACCTAAACTTACCAATCTTTACATTTTACAATATTTTGCACAAAAAAAAAAAAAAAAAAAAAAAAAAAA